GAGAGAGAGAGAGAGAGGAATGCGAAAACACAAAGAAATAATGGAAGGACCTGAAAATAGAGTGAGAGAAAGAGATGAAGAGGAACTACAAAAGGCAGTATGAGAGAGAACCTGGTGATTGAGGAGAGAGAAAACTCGAGGAAGGAAACCGTTGCTTGCAGGCGGGCTAGGGCATCACAAACATTTGATCAATTGCATTAAAGTTTAAATTTTGCCAACTTTTTCCATGATGTTTACTGTATCTTACATATTACTTACTAGGTATGCTTTCTGTTCTTTCCCCATTGCCTCGAACTTGCGTACTTCCCCCCTATCCAGCGGCCCAATTTAGACGGACGCCCCAATCCAGCCGCCTAGTTGAGACGGACGGCTGAGGTTAGTTGTATCAAAATCTGCTAGTAAATCCTTGTATCGTTTGATCTAGATCTGAGGTCTCAAAGTAGATTATTTTTAATTTATTTATAAGTAAATAGAAATTTTAATTAAATGATATTTTGGTTTTTTTAAAAAAAAAATTTTATAAATAAATAGGAAATTAAGAACGCAAAATAAAATAATCTATTGGTGTGCACCTAAAAATTATTTAAAAAATATTTAAAAAAAATAAAATAACCAAATTATCTCTAAAAATTTTAGAGTCTCTTTGGGTACATGGATTTAAGGCATGGATTTCAAATTTTTTCGATTTTGCCAAAATTCACCGTTTAGATTGCTTAATGACTAAGATCCTTAAAATCAAGACTATCAAAATCAAGAAATGAGTCTTACTTTTCTATGATTTCATTTCCACATCAAAACTTGTTTTATTACATTTTCAAGGTCCATGGACTTCACTCAATCGCTCCCTCAAACCGAAACATAGGGAGTATTTGGTAGGTATGAAAATTTTAAGGAGAGAAAATACTTACATTTTTTAAGAAAAAAAATTATATCAAAATTTTTAGAGAGAGAAATTATATCATATTTTAATTTTTAGAGAGAGAAAGTATGTTAAAATTTTAAAGAAAAAGTACTAAATTTTTTTAGAGAGATGAACAATTTCAAAATTTTAGAGAGAGAAACTATATTAAAATTTAACTTTTAGAGAGAGAAAGTATGTTAAAATTTTAGAAAGAGAAAATATGTTAACATTTTAGAGAGAGATTATGTTAATATTTTAGATAGAAAAAATACCAAAATTTTTAGAGAGATGAACTATCTCAAAATTTTAGAGAGGGAAATATCTAAAATTTTAACTTTTAACGAGATAAAGTACCAAATTTTTTAGAGATATCAACTATCTCAAAATGTTAGAGAGAGTAATTATCTCAACTTTTACCTTTTAGAGAGAGAAAGCATGTTAAAATTTTAGAGAGAGAGTATCAAAAAAATTGAGAGAGAAACTATCTTAAAATTTTAGAGAGAGAAACTATATCAAATTTTAAGTTCTAGAGAGAAACTATTATATTTTAGAGAGAGATAATACATGCAAAATTTTAGTGAGAAAACTATTTCAAAAGTTTTAGAGAGAGAAACAATCTCACATTTTAATTTTTAGATAGAGAAACTAATCAAATCTTAATTTTTAGAGAGAGAGAGTATTTTTAAAATTATAGAGAGAGAAAGTATTCTTAAACTTTTCAAGACAAATTATTATAAATTCTAGAAAGAGAAACGGCCAAAAAAACTTAGAGAGAAACTATTTGAATTTTGATTTTTAGAAAGAAACTATCTCGAATTTGGAATTTTAGAGAGATAAAATATTTTAAAATTGTAAAGATAAAAATTATATCAAATTTTAGAGAGAGAAACTACCTACAAATTTTTAGAGATAGAAACTATCTTAAATGTTTTGGAGAGATAAACTATCGTAAAATTTGTGTTTTAGAGAGAGAAAGTTTCTTAAAATTTTTTAGAGATAAATTATATCAAATTTTAGATAGAGAAAATACATTAACTTTTTAGATAGAGAAACTATCTCAAAATTTATATTTTAGAGAGAAAAAGTATCTCAAAATTTTAAACGTTAGAGAGAGAAAGTATATCAAATTTTAGAGAGATATTATATCTTTTCAATAGAGAAACTATTTCAAAATTTCAAAGAGAGAAACTATCTCAAACTTGAAGTTTTAAAGAGATAAAGCATCTTAAAATTTAAGAGAGTAACTAAATCAAATTTTAGAGAGAGAAAGTACATAATTTTTTTATAAAAAGATATTATCGCAAAAATTTTATAGAGAAATTATCTCAAATTTTAGCTTTTAGAAAGAGAAAGTATCTTAAAATTTGAAAGAACAACTGTATCATACTTTAGAGAGTGAAACTACTTAAAAATGTTTAGAAAGAGAAAGTATATCAAAATTATTGAAGAGGGTAACTATCTCAACTTTTAAGTTTTAGAGAGAGAGTATCTTAAAAGATAAATTATATTAAATTTTAGAGAGAGTAAAGCACTTAAAAATTTTAGAGAGATAAATTTTCTCAAAAATTTTATATTGACAATTTCAAATTTTAAATTTTGAATAGAAAGTATATTACATTTTAGAGAGAGAAACCATATCAAATATTAGAGAAAAAATATCTCAAAGTTATACATACACTATCCCAAATTTTGAGTTATAGAGAGAGAAAGTATATAAAAATTTTAAAGAGAGAAAGTTTTGTTAACAAACAATGAACATAGAAGTGATTGCAAGGAATTCATGAATTTTGTATAGTTTATCCAAACAAGAGATTTGATGAATCCATGATAAAAATCTTTGATATTTAAAATCCATAGATTTCTTTGGATTTCATGTATCTAATATTCCTAATGTCCTCCTAAGCAAACAGGCCCTTAGAGTTATTTTGGTTGGTTTACACGTACTAGTTAAAGAGAGGAGATTTGGTGTCAAAATGTTTTATAGAAAAATTAAAAATACAATAATGGAGAGGTATGACATTGTTATTTTGGTTGTTCTACACGCACAAGTTTAAGAGAGAAGATCTAGTGTCAAAATATTTCATAAAAAAATAAAAAATACAACAATGGAGAGGTGTGACATTGTGATTGAGACAATCTTTGACATTGTAATTGAGACAATCTTAGCCGTTCACTCAGAATGGACAGCTGAGGAAGCATAGAGCTAATAAAAACTTTTAATTAGAGATAAGAATAATATCCTTTTTTAATGATTCCAGTTTTACATTTATGGTTTGGTTAGAATTATTAATGGAAAAACTTTCGGTACGTCATACTCATCTAATATTATGCGGTCTTAGTTATATATACTACATTATTAAACCAAAGTTAAAGGGTGGACACGTATCACAAAAATAATAAGGGACCCTAATTATATGGAGGTTGTAGGACATATTCCTTATTCTTAGGGACACCCTAATTGTAGAGAGGTTGTAGGGCATATTTCTGAGTCCAAAGATATCTTCTCAATCTCTCTAAATATTTAGAAAGAGAGAGAGAGGAATGAAGGTGTAATAATATGTTGAAAGAGAAATATCCAAATTTTTAGAAATTCCTAACTCTAAGAAATGTAAAAATTTTAAAATTTTGCAAGCTAAATCTACCTAGGAAGAAGTATCCTAAAAATTCACCCCTAAAAATTACGAGCCTTTTTCTCTTTCTAAGGAGAAATCAAAATTCCGATATAGCAGCAATATATCTTCCTAAGTATCTTGACAACAATTTTTAGTTAACCATTAATGGAAACTTCTTTTCTTTTTTTTTTTAGGAAATTTTGGATAATCGATTAGCATCATGAGCGCTAGTAGGTTTTGTGATATTTTTATCTTTTTTTTTTCTCCCAATCTGCATAGGTTTAGAAGCCTTATCAGGTGCCCTCTCTCAACTTCTCATATATAAAAAATAATGGTCATTAAATTTTTCATGAATAACCCCTCTAAAATAGGTACGCTATTCTCTTTTTTTATTTTTTTTATTTTTTTTTATTTTTCATACAATTTCAGTCTTTCATACAAATACGTATGTTTATTTTTCTTTTTTTCTTTCTTTCTTCATTCTATTCCATTATTTTTGCTTTATTTTTATTGTTCACTGTAACTCCATGCATTGTCTTTTATTTTCTTGCAACCAAGTACCTTTCTTCAAATTTTGAAATACATGTTAACTGAATCCTCTGTATGTTAATTTAGGCGGTTCTATGGAAGTTAATTTAAGTAGATGTAACTATTAATGGGCTTGGGATTACACATGTTACATAACAAAGTTGATCTCGAACATGAACACCTAGACTTTGGGGAATCCATGTTTGTTTGGACCCGTGTTGAAAACTCGCCGAGTCAAACCGGACTCGCCCGGTTCTATTCGGGAATAATAGGCTACCGAGCCGGTTCCATGAAAAAACTCGCCGAGTCAAGCCGGACTCACCCGGTTCGATTCGGGAATCGTTTGCTACCGAGCCCGTTCTACGAAAAAATCGGGAATTGCCCGTGTCCCGAGAGAATCAGGCGGTTCTATGGAAGGTAATTTCAGTAGGCGGTTCTATGGAAGTTAATTTCAGTAGATGTAACTATTAATGGGCTCGGGATTACACATGTTACATAACAAAGTTGATCTCGAACCTGAACACCTGGACTTTGGGGAATCCATGTTTGTTTGGACCCGTGTTGAAAACTCGCCGAGTCAAACCGGACTCGACCGGTTTGATTCGGGAATAGTCTGCTTCCGAGCCGGTTCCATGAAAAAACTCGCCGAGTCAAGCCGGACTCACCCGATCGATTCGGGAATCGTCTGCTACCGAGCCCGTTCTACGAAAAAACCGGGAATTGCCCGTGTCTCGAGAGAATCAGGCGATTCACTATTGGCGATTCCCAATAGTGAATCGTGAGTCTCACAGGAAAAGTATGTAATTTTTGAGTTTACACGTGTCCGCCTCACGAGACCAACAGGCGGCCACCTCACGGGAGCAACACGTGGTAACTCACTTCACATATCTTCCCCCTTGCTTTTCTTCACGCACATTGGAATATCTATTACAAAGGACTTTATAGAGAACCAAGCGACACTCATCTTTCGATGTGGGATAATTCCCACAAAATATCATTAAAGCAAGATGTTTGAATAGATATTATTATAGAATCAAATAAATCACATGAAGCGATGAGGCTGTGTTGGTTGACAACACGGATTTTGCAGTGTTCGTCTAGGGTTCGAACCCCTTAGTGCACAACCAAAAGCTTTTTGAGTTCGAACCCCTTAGCGTACAACAAAATTGTTTTTGAGTTCGAACCCCTTAGCCTTAGCGTACAACAAAAAAAAAAATTTAGCTTGAACCCCTTAGCGCACAACAAAAAAATTTTTGTCGTCAAAA